AAGGGACGCAGGGATGGGACACAGGGATGGGGACACAGAGATGGGACTCAGGGAGGGGACGCAGGGAGGGGACACAGGGAGGGGACTCAGGGAGGGGGACACAGGGAGGCGATGCAGGGAGGGGGACACAGGGAAGGGACGCAGGGATGGGACTCAGGGAGGGGACACAGGGAGGGGACACAGGGAGAGGACTCAGGGAGGGGACTCAGGGCCCTCCCCTCCCTCTCCCTGTCCCGAGGGGCCTGGCTTCTAGTCCTGCACTAACCAGTCTTGACCCCCCTGCACCTCCGCTGTGCTTCCCAGCTTAGCCTTATCCTGAGAAGTGCCCCACCTGCTGCTCCCCTCAGGCTCTGCCTTCCCTTAAGGAGCAGCGGTTCTGGGGGTGCTTCCCAGCCCGAAAGCTGGGGCCATTGGTCACTGCGGGCCTGGGTGTGGACAGAGCTGGACGTGAGCCGGGGGAGTCCCTGCCCACTGTGTCCGCACTACCCCCTGCCCCCCGGTCTTGGGGCTTGAGGGCCACACCTTTCACAGTGAGCTCTGCGCGGGGACTCTCGTTGATCTGTGTGTTGGGGGGCAGGTAGATGGCCCCGCAGAAGTAGGTTCCACTGTCGTTGACCCGGGTAGCCATGATGCTCATGTGAAAGTCCCGCCCGTTGGGTAGCCGCGTGACATGGAAGCGCTTGTCCGGGCCCGGCTGGATGCGGTCTTCCTGGAAGGCGGCCAGTTTGTCCGTCTGGTTGCGGGGGCTCATGAGGTACCAGTTGAGCACAAAGCTCTTGGGGACGTTGGAGAGGCTGCAGGTGAAGGTGGCGTTGTCCCCCTCGTGCACTGTGAGCTGCGCTGGGGAGAAGGTGAGGGGGCTCCAGGGCCTGTCGGGGGAGTCTGGGGGGGAGAACCAGCAGCTGGTGAAGGAGGGGCGTGGGCATGGCGGCTGTCCAGACCCTCCTCCCCTCCCACTCTCCCAGCCACATGCCTCGGAGCCTTGCAGCCTCTCCTTACACACCCCCAGGGATGAGGCGCTCACTTCTCACCAGGCAAATCCACGGTGGGGTTTGACTGTGCTAAGACCTGAGGCCTGGGCTGTGTTCCGGCTCTGACCCCCAGGTCCCTTTTTCTCCCCTTAACAGTGGTGGTTAGGGCCTTCCCCCCTCCCTTGTTGACTCCAGGTTGCTAGTCCCCGCAGGCCTAACCGTCATGTCCCTAGCTCCACCATCCTGGGTCCCCGGCTCATCGGGGGCTGGCCTGGTCCTGTGTGCACCATGAGGGTGGAGGGGGTGGGCATCTGGGATGCTGGGGCGGGCCGGTGTGGGCCTCCCATGGAAAGCTCAGCGTCCGGCAGGCTCAGCGTCCAGCCCTTGGCCCATCACAGGACAAGCTCAGAGCTGGGACCGGGTCAGTGTGGGGCCCTCTGTCTTCTGCCACGGCTCTGGGACTGAAGCTCAGAGGCCAGCTGGGCCATTGCCCCTGACGGTCCCAGGCTCTGGCCCACACGCCACAAAACAAGGCTTTACAAGAACACCCAACTGCCAGGCCCTGGCCCAGGGACACCACCACATCCTCGGAGGGGCTCCTGGCTCCTTCCACCAAGGGCCTACCTCACTAACACATGCACCCACGCCTGCCCTCACCTGTGTGCATGCCCTCACCTGCTCACACTTGGCAGCGGAGGAAGCCCCTCCCACCTGGGCCCAGGGGACACACCAGCAGCACCCCACATGGTTAAGGTGACACAGGAACAGGCCAGCGGCTCCCAGGGCCCTGGGCTGGGAGCCATGGCCAAACCCACATGTGCCGAGCCTTCCAGTGTCTGTCGTCGGCTCACCGGGGAGGCTGGGCCGTGAGCCGTGATCGACACATGGGGAAACTAAGGCTCAGAGGGAGGACGCAGCAGGCCTCAAGCTGCTCTGTCCGAGCCCAGCTCCGGGTCTGCAGCCGGCTGTCCTGGCTCCTGCCCGGGGGCCTTGCCTGGGACCCATGAGCTCCTCCTGGCCACGCTGCTCTGGGCCTTGGCTTTCTCACCCGGGACGTAACACCGAGACCCAAGATGCTGCCCAGTGAGGTCATTTCCTGGCCCACCCAACACGTCCCATGCCCCTCAGCTCCCCCAGCACTGTGATGACCAGAGGCCCACTGCCCTGTGGAGCTGGGCATCTGCTCACGGACCCCGCCCTGGCCTTCCCAGGGGTGACCCCCACACCAGGGGGCCACACTAAGCCCCTTTCTTATTTGTACCTGCGTGTCCAACCCACGCAGAACCGGCCCAGCACAGCGAAACTTCCCTGCCGGTCCTAACGCACGTCTTCTTTATTCGTTTATTTGAGAAGCACACACGTTACAAAGAGAGCGTCATGTAACAGTGCAAGCAGATGGGGCAGAAGCTGGCCGTGGCATCACAGCCTCGGCCCTGAACTGCTGACCTGCTGGCCCACCTTGCTCTGTGCGCCTCCCGCCCAGCACCACGCCCCCTGGCTCTCACCCAAGGTGTGCGTGCACCTGCCTCCTCACAAGTGCCCTCCAGGAATCCCCACTCTGCGTGCCCCGCCCTCAGACCCACACCCCCACCGAGGCCTCCAGACAGACCCCTGCACTCCCGGGATCAGGGCCCCCGAGAAGTGGCCCTTGGGGCTCCACGTGGTGCATGGCGTCCCCTCCCCTCCTGCAGAGGCCCCCCCCCCCCACTAGCAGGCCTCCCCAGGGCTCCCGAGTAGACTTTGGTTCAGGCCCTCATCTGCCCCACCCCTCACCTGAATTTGTGACCATTTGGGTCACTGCCGGTTGGTTGGCTCTTTGTGGTGCCTCTCAGGGAACCTGAACTTGGCAGGGAAGGCACACTGGGCGGCCTGGACCCCCGTCCACCCAGCCCAGCCTCTGCCTAGGTCTCTCCATGGCAGCCTCCCAGTCCTGCTCCGGCCCCGTGGACTGAGGTCCCTTCTGGTGGCCTTCGAGGCCCCGCTCCCTCTGGGCGCCACAGCTTCCTTGCTTCTCCTTGGACCCCTCTCCAGGGCACCCCTGTCTCTGTGCCTGTTGCACCCCCCCCGGGGCTTCACGGCATGCTGGGGGGCAGGGGCTGGATGCAGCGGCTACTATGGGTCTGGCCTGAGACAGGTCAGGGTAATGTTCCCTGTGGGGAGTGCGGGAAGGGGCAGCCTTTCATCCTACAGCTGCCCCGGAGCCCGCTCTGACCAGGGAGCACCCGCCGCTCTGACCAGGGAGCATCTTGACCAGGGAGCATCCACTCTGACCAGGGAGCACCCTGACCAGGGAGTGCCCGCTCTGACCAGGGAGCA